TAATATGATTTCGGTATACTGCAATTTCATTCAACAATTAAGAACATCATAGTAGTACAGGCATTAAAACAAAACATGCAATTGCTAATGGTAAAAAAAGAGTGACCAGTTATACGATGCCTTTTTCTTTATCGAGTCTCTCTGAGCCATTCCTTGAGCCTGGGGCTATCTGATCCTCCTTGTTTGGTCCTCAGTATCAGATCCCTCTTGTTTGGTCCTATCAATAATAAGACTACAGCAGAGATAACAATAACAGTAATATACACATTTCTGACTTGGAAAGACTCCTTGGATTTGATGAGCTCTTGATCTCCACCAAGAACACTGACATGCATGAAGCTTAAACACACTCAAGGCTAGTAGCTCTGCTTTATCGCCATCTCTACTGGTTAACACGCCTACTATAGGCGGGGTGAGGATCACGTGATGAGGTGAAGTCTTAGAAAATCGTAGCTACCATCACTTGAATAGCTACATCGATTAGCTACATAGATAAAAAACATCCATTATGAAATTGACGCATTAATGAGGCGATGCGCTTCGCGCATCGCCACACTACCTTTCCATATTTATATTATTGATGAGGAATTTTGTCCAGGATGGCGTTCCATAAGAACAAATGCTCTTTTGCACTTTAACATTGTTATTGTTTATTTAGACAATTAATGTAGTTGCTGAAGTTCTTGCTTTCCTCCACACATTTGCTACAGATCTCTCATTAAATAATCTAGAGCAGATTAACGCTGTTATTCAGTCATTGATTGAGCTGTGTGTTGGTAATATTAGAAACCAAGTTATTGCATTTAACAAGCTTGTTATGGATCCTGTTAACAGAATATTACAGCTTCAATTGAAGAAGCATGATGATTGTCTCATTAAAGAGGTGCTTAATCTTTGCAATTATTTGTTGAGTTTTTGCAAATTGTTTTTTAGTCTGAAGATTTTGAGCTGATAAAAAAATATGTGGAAGTGAAAGGCAGTGTTGTTGAACTGCTTGATGTTATGCTTGAAGAAATTAGTCCTCAAACCCTCACTCTTGCTAAAGTAAGTGCTACTGCACATCCAAAATTTTTGAGGAATTAATTTAAACATTTGTTAATCAACCCAAAATTTTTTTGTAAATTTTGTGTCTTTGAATGAAAGCATTCTCCACTTTTGTACCATGTTATTTAGATTTTTACAGGTTTTAATTTTTTGAATCTAAGGCTACGTTTACACAGCAAGGCAAAATGTATCGTTTTTGACAAAAATACACTTTGAACACCGTTTTCGATTCCATAGTGTTCTATCAAGATTTTATATTGTTTTCATTTGTTTCTGTGTAAGCAGAAGCATAGAACAGGCACAAAACTAAACTGATTGCATCCTTTTCATTGCTGTGTAAGCATAGCCTAAAAAACCCAGAATCAACAAAATCTAAGCCCTTTGAAAGTTTCTAGCTACATGTATACTACATCGTAATAACATTGATGCTGCATTAATGTGAGCACATTGTAGCCTTTGCAGATTGAAATTTATTAAATTTTTCATGTATGAAATTTGAAACTTGTTGCATCACTTTTATTAATAGGGTATTGGATCATCATTGGATGTTAATTCTGTGTTGCTTACTATGAAAATGTTTCATGAGCTACAATCACTTCCATTAATCAAGGAACAGAAATTGGATGATGATTGTGAGAGGGGACGGAACAAAGCTTATCAAGTTCTTGTAGCTCTAATTGAATATAAAGCAATTGACATCAAAGATGAAAGTAAGGAGGTGTTTCATAAACTTCAAAATTGTGAAATAAATAATTTTAGCAAAATTGATGAAGAGAGCAGAGGAACAATCATGTGAAGAAGCACTTAATAGCTGCAAAGAATGCTCCCATTCCATTGAGATACACTATGAAGAAGATGGAGCCAAGCCAATAATTGCTAGAATACACTTTCCTTTTAAGGCAAAGCTAAGAGAAGTAGCAACTGAGCTAGTACGTTGGAATATTAACAGAGACTCAATGGACGATAAACAAAGGGCTCTTGTTGACTTAATGCCAGCACTTAGAAAAGATGTTCTTCATCAGGTACAAGATACACGCATATTTTTTATAAATTATATACTAGTTAATATAGAAGATATATCATTTATAGCTAATGTCTTATGTTTTGAATAAAGTTTACTTAGCTTTTTCAAATAGACTAAGTTGAAGGAAACTAAAGTAATGAAACCATTCCTTGCTTATTCGTAAGTTAGCATGTATAGTCTGTCATTGCATTGATATTATTGCATTGATATTTTATTATGTAGCACTGTGCGTTCTCGTTTATTGATGCTGTTAACAATCATATTGAATATATTTGTGCTATTTGTGTATACAGTACCTGACAAGGAAATGGGCAGCAACAGGTAAGTACATATACATGCAGATATGAATTATGCTCATTGTAATACTGTTTTAATTAGGGTGTTCTTACCAAATTTTCCTTTTTGGTTTTATATCGTATTCTATATTCTTGGGGCAGCTCACCTATTTATGTCATTTTGGATTGTTGTTGAATATTTTCTGATCAACTGGCCTCATTTCAAACTGCCTGGATTTGTCTATTCACTGAGGTATAGAGAGTGTGTATTCAATAAAATTATAATTTTTTATTCTTAGGGCTGAGATTGATAAAGTTATTCATAAGGATAAGGGCGGTAGTACATATAAAGCTCCACAGTTGACTTGCATTGATGTTGGTATATTTAGTGTGTCAACAATCTACATGGTGCTATTTTTGATCTGTTCTATTCTCTCTCTTGCTTTCCGTGGATATTTTTATTGTTTTTGTCTCCTGTTCATTATTGTGAATAATGATATATTGAAAAGGGTTTTGAGATCTGTGACAAAAAATGGTACATATACATAGAAATTAATGATATAGATTTACATGTAGCACCAATCTTTTAATGATCAAATTCATTCACTTCTTTCTTGCTAACTGATATTTATTTCTCTTTTTTGATTTTTAGGAATGTCTCTGTTTTGGCTATCTGTTCTGGGAGTCATTGTCCTGTTTATTTATGCTGTTATTTCTTTTGCTTTTCTTCAAAATAATTATGTTGAGACAGATGATGCTGCCCTTTACTGTGCTAACCTTGGCCAGTGTATGTATTCAGTGCTGCGATATGGCCTGACTGATAATTTGGGAATAGTAAGCTTAAAAAATCTTTTAAATCTATTGTTTCCCTATTTTCTTTTTAGTTGATCCCATTTGAAAGAGATGGCAGTGCTCCTAATTTTACTGCTGGGGTGTTTATAGCACGTCTCATTTTTGATATTTCATTTTTCATAATTGTTACTACCATTGGTCTCAATATAGTCTTTGGTATTATAGTGGATACTTTCACTGAGCTGAGAGAAGAAAGAGTAAGTTCAAATAAAATACCATATACGTGTAATCATTATAATTAATTTTTTGAACATAGAATAAAATCGAAACTGATCAGAAAAGCAAGTGCTTTATATGTGATGTTCCAAGCTATGACTTTGACAGGAGAGCTAAAGTATGTTTTTAATATTTGATTTCTTGATTTTCTATTTTCTTCCTGTCCCTAGGGCTTCTCTAAACATATTAAAAATGATCATAACATGTGGAATTATGTCTATTACTCTTTGTACCTTGATAGTATTGACATTGGTGACCATAATGCAATTCAAAAATATGTCTATGAATTGGTAAATTATTTTCTTATCTTGCATAGCATTAACTACCCAATGACACAGACTACATAGTAATTACTTTAATTTGTCAATGCACAATTCATAATTATGCAACATGCAGATCAAAGCTCCAAAAGCATTCAGCATAAGCGAGAGTGGATTATTCATTTTTGGTATACAGCTTACAATTGAAGCATCAATTATTTGTGTTAATCATAGTTTATGTAAGAATAATACTATTTACACATGTATCATTTATTTTACAGATGCTTGAAAATAATACTCGATTCTTTCCTCAAGAGGAAGCGCGTTGTCTTATTAATGAAGAAGATTCAGTTGACAAGATTGATGAGTTGGAGGAAAAAGTAGAGGAGATATTGCGATACTTTAGAGAGAAAGAGCATAAGAAGAGCCTCAGTGTTAAAAGGCAGGAACAAAACAAGTGGGAGGAAGAAGTTCTTAAAGGCCAATCAAGCTCGTATACTACTTCTTAATTCTTTTGACCAGCAATGAACTAAATTGTTATGATACCTAATTGGTATCATTTTTGAACATCAGTAGTTTAGTTTTTATTTGCAGTAGTTTAGTTTTTATTTGCAGTAGTGTAGCTCTTTATTTGCACTAGTGTGCACATTTAGGTAGATTTTATTAGTAGTTTGGTTAGTTTGTTTTAATGATAATATAATTAATAATTAATGTTCCGTGGGCGGACGAGTCGTTCAATCCGTTCATGTGCCAGCTAATCAGCTATGGTTTCTTTGAAATGGGCAAAAGGTGAATTTACTATACCCCTTTTATGAATGTACTTT